CTTCCAGATGTTGGGATGGAGCATTGAGAATTGGTTCCCAAAACTCAATAAATTGCTCCATAGAGGGCTGAATGGCGTGCACCTCGCCATCCAGGACTAACTTAGCCGCTCGTGACATGTCCTTGGTCCACAAACTCTGCATGGCAGCATATTCCCGCCGCCTCTTACGCCAGTTTGAGATATGTGCAGTCGGCGTGTCCCTAGGTACTCTAGGGACACGATGTTCTATCTGGGGTGGAGGAAAGACCTTCATCACCCATTGATGACAATCTTCAGATGTAATTTGATTGCCATCCAGGAGGGCCTCTGCAATCTCGATCAGGTCAGAAGCTCGATGAGATGTAATCTCTCGAGCCAACCCGATCGAATGCCTGATTGCGTCGATATAGATGTTATTATCATTGCCCTCCTCCTGTGACAAGGGAAGCGTTAGATGGTCATCGCTATCCCTGGACACTTGATGGGTGGTTGGGCTGATGTTCGGCCCAACTACATCTGAGGAGGGATCTGGGGAGGGGCTTTGTAAAGCTGTTAGTTTTTGCATTACGAGGGCTTTATACGTCTCCTTCTTTCGGAGACCCTTCAGTCGCTCAAGATCACACCCAAGCGACTTCAAAAGGGGCGTAGATAACAGGTACTGCCGTATAAATCGGACACTGCCCTCGTGAATGGCCTTAGCCTCCTCCATGGCGACCAGTTCAACCTCCTCGTCTCTCCATCTCACCTTTCGATTTGCCAACTGTACTCTCTCATTAGCATTTTCAGGATGAGCTCTCCTTAAATGGACTCCAAGGCCGATCTTAGTGACAAACTCTCTCGCACAAACTGGACACTTGTGACGGCTGTTGTTGTTGCCATCACATAAGGGTAAGACCGGACGGTCACGGTCAGTTGCCGAAGCAGGGCCGGTAATCCGAGAACCCCGTGGGGCTACCGGCGGTGAGTCACTTGACTCACGAGAATTTATATTTTGACTCGTGCCTGCTTCCAGTGAAGTATAGGGAAGGCAACCCCATACTCCTTTACATACCACCTTCCTAGGGGGGATACCGCCACTAACTAGTGGGAAGGCTGGTCATGTGAGAGGGCTGCTCTCTCACGGTATCCCTCCGCCTTGAAGACTTTAGCTACACTTGAGCCACGTCAAATGTATTACTAGCGGTACCACGAAGAGGTAGCTTCAAGACTTGACTAAGTTAGAGGGGACACCTCTCCGCTTAGTCCATTGAGCAACCAAAAACTCCAAGTCCATACGCATTGCTTTCCACCACGCGCATTGCTTCCAGCCATACGCATTGCTCTCGATCATACGCATTGCTTTCAAACACGCGCATGACTTCAAGCCATACGCATTGCTTTCGGCCATACGCATGACTTCCAGCCATACGCTGGCCCAAGAGAGTCATAGTTACTCCCGCCTTAAGAGAGGGTACTACACTACCGCGAAAGCAAATGCTTGGTCAAATAATAAGAAAATGATATCAGTATCCGCTTTATTGAGAGGCCCTTGCCTCAAAAAGTGTGTTAAACAGTTTTACCGACACAGAAACTTCGGATCTTAGAGCTTTATTAAATAAGCTTGAATCACGTTTTGATATAAATTTAAATTTAATAGCTACTCGTTATTCCAAACTAAACGACAACAACCTGGTGAGGATCTTCCAACTTTAGCAGATGCAATATAACAATTAGCAGCTTTAATTTACCCTGAATGCTCAACAGAAATTCAGGATAAGATAGCATGTGCCTAATTCATCATGGGTATTTATCATTCAGAGATTAGGGAATCTCTTCAATTATAAAGAATTATTTCTTTAAAAATAGCTTTAGCTCGTGCTTTGGAAGTTAAATCGATTAAAGATCAAAATAGGACTTCAACTTCACGAAGTGATAGAATTGCTCAAAATAATTAAGTTTCTGCAGTGATACATAATCAAATGACCAAGATTACAGAAAATTAAAATAAACTATTTGACACTCAAGAATGGTTGAGAAATCTTGAACGTTGGAAATGTTACAAGGAAGGTCACACTCGTAACTGATGTCCAGAACAGGGAAAGTAAGTTATGTTGAACCTTCAGGAGTGGGTTGAACATCAAAGAAACAAGCTCCTTGTTTAATGTGAAGGGTTAATGTGAAGAGACAACCACTAGACTACTAGAACTCTACTAGAATTCTTAGTAATTTGAAATCTTTTCAATTTGAAGGACTTGTTAATGTATTTTTAAAATTTACTGAGGCTCAAATTTGACTATTTGGAATTCAAGGTTTATGGATCAACTTCTCAATTTACTACCTCTAAATGGGGATACATTGAAATGTCCTTATATACATTGAAATTGTTCCGATTAAATCTAAAGCTGAAGTTTGGATAAATTTAGGTCAACATTCAGCTAAACTAATTGTTTCTATAGCTAATATTATTGATGATTGTATATTAGGATGTAATTTTTTAAACAAAACAGGCATTTCCGAGTTAATAAATAAAATTTTTATGATTACTCCATATTTAAACATCAGTAACTCCGATGAACAACGATGTTGTAAAGTTTTAGAAGACACTCAGGAAATACTTAGTTTATTAACAGATGTTTTTAATAACAATTCCCATAATTTAGACTACGCAAAAAAAAATTTTTAAAACTATTAATAGATTTCGAAGAAATTTTTCATACCGATGACGTTGCAGGAAGTTGTAATTTAGTTGAACACAAGATTGAGCTAAATGATCCCCGTCCCCTTAAACAACCTCGCCGTCCTATTCCTTTTTATTTGCGAGGAGAGGTTAATCAAATGATTAAGAATATACAGAATCTGGAAATAATAGAAGAATCTTTTAGTTCTTGGTGTTTTCCAAGTGTTGAAGCAGAAAAAGGATGGTACTCTAAGATTCTACGTCGATTTCCATAAATTTAAGTATAAAACTATTAAAGATCCATTACCTAGAATTTATCAGACTCTAGATAAATTAGCTAAAAAATTCTGATTTTCAACTTTAGATCTTAAAAATGGGTATTGGCAAGTGAAAATTCTTGCAGAAGATCGAGAAAAGACAGCTTTTTCTGTTGGAAACGGATTATGGTAATTCATTGTCATGGCTTTTGGACTATGCAACGCCCCAACCAGTTTTGAACGTCTTATGGAAATTTACTTCGTGATTTCTTAAACGATATTTGTTTAATTTATCTTGACGATCTTATGATTATGGCTAAATCATTTCATGAAATGCTGACAAATTTAGAAACAGTTTTTATAAAGATTCGAAATGCTAACTTAAAACTAAATTAAAAGTAATAGGTTTTCTTCCAACGCGAAGTAGAGTATTTTGAACACATTGTTTCAGAATTCGGAAAGAAAACAGATCCTAAAAAGATAGAAACTAATTTCTTGGCCTATTTTTTCAACTAAAAAACATGTAAAGAGTTTCATTGGTTTATTTTTTTATAATAAGATTTATCTTCTATCGCCAAATTATAAATTAAGTGAAAAGAAACAAATTTCAATGGACTCCGGAATGTCAAATTTCTTTTTCACATTTGAAAGAGATTCTCTCAACACCACCCATTTTAGCTTTACCATTAGGAAATTTTCCTCTCACTATAGATACAGATGCGTCTGATCGTGGGATAGGAGCTGTATTATTTTAAGTATAGGATGGAGAAGATTGCCTTTGTGATTGCCTATGATAAAAGCTGAGAGAAATTACTGTGCTGGCTGTTCTAGATTCAATACAATATTTTCACAATCATCTATATGGTAGACCATTATTCATTCGTACTGATCATTCAGCATTAACGTCGCTCCTTTTATTTAAAAACTTAGACGGTCAATTAGCTAGATGGATAACAAAATTAGATTAATATGACTTTAAAATTCTACATCATAAAGGTACTTTTTATGGAAATGCAGATGGCCTTTCTCGACGCCCTTTTCAAAAATTCTTCTAAGTATTACTTTAATATAGAATCTAAGTATATTTTAAATGCTTCTGTCGTCGGACGTATTATTTTTGACCAAACATTCAAAATTATATGGCAAGATCGTCAACGACAAGACGATGTTCTTTACACTATTTTAACTAGTAAGAGAAGTGGGATTAAATTATCATCTTAACTAAGTCTATGTTGAAATCTCCAACTATGAGGTAATTTTGCATATGCTTGACATATAATAAAAATTCATTTATATTTATCAAAAATTCAGCTTTCAGAATTTCATGCGATCTGTATACTTTAGAAATTATTAGAACATTATTTTCATTTAGTGATATACTAGATTGCAAAATTTTCAATTTACAGTAAATCTTTGTTTCTGTAATTACTTTGACTGTCTTATATATTATATATATACACGGTGACCCATTTTAATCGCCGTAGCCAGAGTACTCGAAACCTAAGCTAGATAGGGCAAAATGGTTATGATAAAAGTTATAGAGGGCAAAGGGGGCAACGCAATAAGGCTAACGCTTTTGACCTTGAACTTGACCTTCAAGGTTATTTCAAGGTCAAAGTGTTTTTTTTAAATGGGAACCCCTATTTTTGACATCGGATTCGGAAAGAGCGGAAAATTTTACTTATTGTTGTCAGACATATTGTGAATATAGCTGAAAATAAAAAAAATGATCCAAAAATAATTATTGCAAGGCTATCTTTCAAGAGCTAAGTCAAACCTAGTGGAAATAGTTCCACTGTTAACTCTTCGTCAAATTCGCGGATGGGGTATACAAATAAGCTCGGTTTCGTGTTGTCCGTTTCTTCTTCGTAAAAGCACCAGTTACTATTGCGTAGTTACTCCAAATAAGTAGAATGTTAGTAAAAATAGTCGTTACACTGCTCTGCATTTTTTCTTTAAAAGTCCAACAGCACTATTCGTTTAATGCAGTTAAAAGTGGTTAATCTTTAGCATTCACCTACATAAAGATATTCTTTTAAGAAAAAATCAATATTAATTTATTATTATATTTATGTTAATATATAATTTTGATCTATTATCTTTTTCAGGAGCCAGACAAAAGCCATTTCAGAAAATAATCTAGACATTACCTATTCTAATGAAAATAAAGATTTTTCAACTTATGATTTATTTCATCAACAGAATTTTGTCTCAAATAACTGTAATGAGCCATCTTTACAATATGAGGAAATGCGTCGTCAAATAAAAAATGATGTACGAGAAATTGGGTGAGTATTAAAATTTTACAATAAATATTGAGAATTTAATATTGATATACTAAAGTCTGATCTATTCCATATGACTTAGTGAATATGCGTTTATAATATTTACGAATTCCAAAATGGGTACAGTGTATAGCAATATTTTTCAAGTTATGTTTTTACGAGACCTGATTTTAGTCAATGCATTTTTTTATCTCTAGTCTTATTTACATTCTATCTTTAAAAAGACATTTAGTAAATTATCTACATTATACCATATTCAAATATAAGTTTCTCATCAGTGCAGGATTATTTACACGCGCAGACTGTGTTTAGAATCATATGCTACATTGAATAAAAATTACAATTGTAAGTATGTTTTTAGTCGTTAATTACTAATGCATGTATTGATAATTTGGTTCGTTATTTGATTTGGGTGGTTTTCTAATTTAACTTTGCATTTATGTATTTCTCGTAGAATGATATGATTTCGTCTTTAACTATTGGAATATATTATAACGAATGAAATTGCAAACTCGTTATATCTCTCTCTCCCTAGTAACGTTATGTAAATATAACATATTCCTCCGAACTTATCCTATGTATTTATGAATTTATTATGTTTATATTCATTTATTATTTATATCTGTACATGTAATTACCCTTCTGTTTGGATATAAGGTAAGTGAGGTGAGAGAGAGATGCGAGTACGCAGAGATACCTCCGTGCGCGATAGCGAGGCACTAAGAGGGAGAGATAGAGAGAGAGAAACATAGTCGCACCTTAGCGAGTGACCGCGCACACTGATTCACTCATTAGAACGAAATCGAGAGTCGAGCCGGCGGCACGCTAGAGAGTTGTTGTGTGGACTCGCGAGCGAGCGGATAGAGTTCTTTGTCCCGATGACTTTCCTTACTCGGATTTTAGTTGTGGCCTGACGCCTCCCTTTTCCTACGATCTTGGAGTGTGTGCCCTTATCCAGAGGAGAATTGCGACGTCGCCTGGCCCTGCAGAGGATCTACGTACGTGGGTCGTAGCTGGTAGAGTAGGACTTTGTTGCGCGAAGAACTTTTGTTATAAGAAACCGAGCCGCATAGTATACGTGGTGCCCTAAAATTCGTGCGTGTACGTCAACGCAAATCGTGTAACTCGTCTGCGTGCCTAGAAGACGAGCACCGTCATTGTAAGTACCGGCTTGTTGGTTTACTCTCTCTCTCTACCCATCCTCTCAGCGTGCTCTCTCCCTCCTTCCAACCGCTTTTGTTAACCTTTATTGATTAAAAATACTGTTCACCGTAAGTTTCTTTTTATTTAATCATATCCTGCCGCCTTTTTCGAACGTTTCGCTTTTTCGTGCCTACACCCGCTCTTGAATCTTCGACTTTCGCGTTCTTTGGCCAATACTACGAATCTGCGCGGATCTGGCTGTCCTATCACTGGCGTGACGAGCACCGGACCTGAGAAGACGGACAATCCAGGAGGCTTCAGACTCCGCTCGGACATTCTTCATTTATTGTTTCTTTCTTTTTTTTATATTTACGGGGTAAACCGGGCTAAATCCCCGTTATAATGTAAATCATTCCTAATGAGATATTAATTGGTATGAATCATGATGTGTCAATCAAGCTTCACAAGACTTTAAATTGAAATCATTCCAGGCTTTCTGTATTTGATTTTGAAGCTGAACCCCAAAATTAAAAAATGTATGTCCAGACCGGTTTGAGAATAGATGTGTAGATTAGGGTGGGTCTTAATTTTTTAAATTTCTTTTTAATGTTCGCCGGGCGGAAATTGCTTCATTATACCTTTAAACTAATGTGAAAATCCTACCGGGATTTCGAAATTTAATTTAACACGTGCCTCAACGCACTTGAACATTCGATATAAGAAATGTACTTAAAAACAGGCTAAAATGATTATCATGAAAAAAATTTAAAAAAACACGGAATCAATATGTTAAATACAAAACTTCCTGCGTATTTTTGACGTAGAATACCATGGCGGCATCGGTTTTATTGAAAAGCTTTTTCAAAAAGCGCTAAAAGTGAAATTATTGTCAATATCGTCAAAAAATTCTTGTATTTCCATGATTTTACACGTCTAGTGCATTTTACATTAGTTTTATCGTAAAATCAATCAAACTATCACATTCTGCGTTAAAAATTACATTAAAAATATATATTATACTTTTGAAAATGTTGAATTATCCTAAATTTTGAATCAAATAAATGTATAATCTGTTAGTCGTGCCGAGCGGAATAAAGTATCCTTCGGACAATTACTTCATCATCCGAATTTATTAAAAACTACCCTAATCTATTTTCATAGATAATTATATATGTTTTCGATCTATTTTTTTATGGAGAGTATGATGGTGCAATTCATTTTTGATAAAATCTACGTAGAGCGCTAGAAATGAAAATTCATAAAATACACTAGGTCGAGGCTTGAATAATTTTATTTTTATTTTTCATGTTTGCCGGGTGAAAACGACAGTTTCTATATACATAAAAAATATTGCGCAAATCTGATCGGATAATCTACGAGTGGTTCTTAATTTTACAAATTACAAATTACAAGAAATGGAATTTTTTAATTATTTATCAAACTTATGTTTCAAGGTTATTTGAATTTGTATTAATTGAAATTACTTTAGGGTACGAAATGGTTTAAAAAACTAGATTTTTTAGTAGAAAATGTAGAAACTGTAGAAAATATATATACAGATATTTTACAAAAATATTATCTTCCTTATCTACAGTCGCGATAACTATTTCAAAATATACAGAAGTATTCTTATAAAAATTATAATCATTTTCAAATAAATCTATTCTTTGTGGCTCAGCTTGTTTTTGTGTCTTCTTAATCCAAGTACGAGGTCTGTCCGGAAAGTATCGGGCCTACCTTTATATTTTCGTGCTAGCGTTATTCTTTATCATCTTATTGGGTGGCATTCTTCAAAGTAATCCCCACTTGATTGAATAACACGTTCCATCGATGTTTCCACTTTTCAAAACAGTCCTGGAACTCACTTTTAGGTGTAGCCTTAAGTACACTCGTCGCATTGTTTTCAACCGTTGTGTTGTCATCGAATCGGTGTCCTTTGAGTGGTTGTTTTAGTTTTGGAAACAGCCAAAAGTCACAAGGGGCTATGTCGGGAATGTGTGGAGCTTGTCGAAGCAATGCGATATTGTGTTTGCTCAAAAACTGCTGCACAAGTTGGATGTGGCGCATTATCGTGATGGAGAAGCCAGTCACCACTTTCCCAAAAGTGCGACCGTTTTCTTCTTACTGCATCACGCAAACGTTTTAAAATTTGAACGTAGTATTCTTTATTGATTCTCTGGTCTGTTGGTGCATATTCGTCATGTATAACACCTTCACAATCGAAAAAAACAATCAACATTGACTTAACATTGCTTCGACTTTGACGTGCTTTTTTTGGTCTTGGCGATTCAGAATGCTTTCACTGTGAAGATTGTTGTTTTGTTTCAGGATCATAACCATAAACCCATGATTCATCACCTGTAATAACTTTTCTAAGCACATTATCATCATTATTGACCATTTCCAGATTGTCCAGAGCGATTTCTAAGCGAATGTTCTTCTGCTCTGCTGTGAGCAATTTTGGGATGAATTTCGCACACACGCGTTTCATTCCTAAATTTTCGGTTAAAATTTCTGAAACGATAGTTTTTGGTATCCCAATGTCTTCTTCTAGTTCTCGCACAGTCATACGACGATCTTGTTCGATTGCAAGTCGCACCCGCTCAATATTATCTGCGGTTTTTGTCGTCGAAGATCGGCCGTAACGAGAATCACTATCGACAGAAGTACGACCATCCTTGAACCGTTTATACCACTCTTTTATTCGTGTTTTGCCCATACACTCGCTTCGGAAGGCCTTTTGCATCATTTCAATAGTTTCCGAATTCGTTTTTCCGAGTTGAAAGCAAAATTTGATGCAAATTCATTGATCTTGTTTTTTAGTCATTTTTGATAATATCAAAATCCGACGAACGCGAAAAAGGCACTGTAAACAAAGACACGCTGCGCATGAACTATATGTCCGGCAGGTGTCAGTAAGTAACCAATAGATTCGTGAGGCTTTACTGTTGACGTTTCTGTCCGGTAGAGATCGCTGGAACACTATGGCGCGAAGATATAAACGTAGGCCCGATACTTACCGGACAGACCTCGTACAGAGGTCCAAGAAAAGATCCGACGGTTTTTACTCCTATGGGCGTTGGAAACTTCATTACGGTCTCAACCAATTTAGGATCCAGTTCCACTCTTCGAGCACTAACAATATGCCCTGAGAATGTGACCTCTCTACGAAGGAAATTCACTTTGTCCGGTTGAAGAACTAACCCTGCGTTAAAAAGGCGTTAAATAATTTTTATACCTTAACTTCATGGTCATGTAAATTTTTAGCGTAAACTATTATATCATTTAAGTATAATAATATTTTTACATTTAATAGTTCCCGCAACAATGCATTAATCATTCGTAGAAAGGTCGCTGGTGCGTTCATTAAGCCTTCCGGTATTCTGATATACTAAAAGTGTCCGTCAAAAGTATAGAAAATCGTTTTCTCTCTCTGTCCTATAACCTTAAGGGAATTTGTTTTAATTCACTCATTAAATCAAACGTCGAGAAGTACATCGAGCCTCCCAACTGATCTAAAATATCGGCAATATTAGGTAAAGAATAATCGTCGCCGATAGTCTTCTTATTTAACTCTCTGAAATCAATAACAATTTTCCATTTCGGCGTACCGTCGCTCGCTGGGCTTTTGGGAACAATCCAGAGTGGCGAGTTATAAGGCGAGTTACTTTCTTCGATTATTTCGTACTTTAATCGTTTCTTGATTTAGTTGGATATAAACTTTCTGTGCACGGATGGGTGTCTATATTTCTTTGTATTCACTGAAACTCTATTTTCCAGATATATCTCGTGTTCTAACAAATTAGTACAAGGCAGGGACTCTCCAGGAAGTAAAAACACATTCGGATATCTTTTCAATA